CGGTGTTTGCCATCGGGATTGGGTTTTCGTCGCTTGACAACGACGTTGTAAACAAGCCAGTTCACTTCGTAAACTCGGCAACCAGGTTACCGGGTTTTTTTTTTCACCTCCGTTTTGTTTTTTGGCGGTAACCATTATGGTGGTCGAGTAGATCATGTTGTGCGGGGTGGAGAACCCTCACTCCGCGCAAGGGGGATGATCGCACCACGTTGTGTTAAAATGGTCAAGCACCCTCGAGGCAGTTACACAGTGCTTACAACTGTCTCTGGAAGTGAAAGCACCAGAAAATAAATTAATTCATACGCAGCTGTCATCCGTACGCAAGGAAGTAAGCACAAGATGCCGAACACCCTCAGCAGGATGCAGCGCACCCTTCATGCAACTCGTCGCTTGACAACGACGTTGTAAGCAAGCCAGTTCACTTCGTAAACTCGGCAACCAGGTGACCGTTTTTGTTTTTCACCTCCGTTTTGTTTTTTGGCGGTAACCATATTGGCGGTCGAGTAGATCATGTTGTGCGAGGTCGAGAACCCTCACTCCGCGCAAGGGGGATGATCGCACCACGTTGTGTTAAAATGGTCAAGCACCCTCGAGGCAGTTACACAGTGCTTACAACTGCCTCAGGAAGTGAAAGCACCAGAAATTTACTTAAGTCATACGCAGCTGTCATCCGTACGCAAGGAAGCAAGCACAAGATGCCGAAAACGCTTAACAGGATGCAGCTCACCCTTCATGCGACTCGCCGAACTCACGGCGCTTCCCGCTCGGTGATGTGAGAACCTGGTCCGGTGAGAACCCGGCGTGCTCCGTCCCGGCTTTGTAGGGATGCGATGTCAGTGGTCTAACGACTACGGCATGCACGACTATGAGTACACCCCCCCACCCCCATCCCTAACCGCTTACTGTGCCGTGCGTGTGGCCGCTTCTTCGATCTCCCCACATTTATCCTTTTTTGCAAGCGCAGATGGTCGTGTTCGGAGACTCGCAGTCAGACGCCGGCAGGCGGTACAACGCGCCGGCGAGCCACGTCTACGAGGGTATCGGGGTGTACCCTTGGGCAAAGCTCTACGAGGCTCCCGACAGCGAGGTGCAGTAGTACGCGCACGCGCATGCCATCGAGCCCGTTGCCGTTTTGGAGTGGACGCGGTGTGTGCCTCTTTCCGGATGTACATAGGCTTCTGTGTTTTGGTAGAGCTAGAGCTCCGCCTTCGTCTTGACCTGGACATGTCCGCCACCGCTCCTTGTAAAAAGAATCGTCTTCACCCATGTGGTCGTATGCCAGTCGAATGGCGTAGGGGTGGGGGAGCGGGGGCCGCGTGTACGCGCGTGCGGTCAATGCGCGCTGTCAATTGGACAGTCTTCATCAAGACCGCGTCATGTTGGTTGACATTGGGGTTGGGGTTGGGGTGGGGGGTGGGGCTTGCGTGTACACGCGTGCGGTCGGTCGATGTGTTTGCCCTGGGGATTGGCTTGACTGTCAGGGTCGCGGTCGCGGCCGTCGCGAGACGCTAGGCACGGACGCACCGCTCCTGTATGTTGGCTCCGGCTTGAAGCGAATGCACTGCTGGTGGGGGCGCGCGCGCGGGGGGGGGGGGGNGGGGGGGGGTTGGGGTTGATTTCAACATGTGGGGCGGGCCGAAAAGTCGCGGTGATATCTACCGATACGTGTACACCCTACATGAAATGCAACCCCATGAATGCGTGGATATCAGAATGTCCCCAGAGGGATAGTGACCTGACTTCCACGCCCTCCGCCGATTGTTGCAACCTGGCCTCTTTGTTCACCGTGACTGCAAGCGCTTCTCAAAGCCCATTATCCTGCAGTGTGCCTTCCCCCTCAACGTTCCGGATCAATGGGTCGCACGCGGCGACATTCACGTGACAGCAACACACATGGCAGCAGCAGCATCAGAATACATGTTCTCGTTCACCATAAACTTCTTACCAATCTCCTCCTCGTTTCCTTGCCCCCCTCCCGGGCAATGCCATTCTGCCGTCGTCGTTGTCATCGCCCACCGTGTTGGTTTCGTTCAGTCCAAGTTCCGGGCCTTTCTCCCCGGGGCCGGGTCCCTGACCAACGGGAAGATGTGGCCGGAGTGGCTTGGCGTGCCTCAGGTACATAAAACACAGCACGAGACGGGAGGAGGGTTGTTCTTCCCCCCTTTGGTTCTTGACTGGCAGCAGAAAGGCGTACAGAAGGTCCAGCCACGCCAGGAACGAGCCTAGTTTGAATAACAACGAGCAAGCACTAGCATTTGGGACTTCTGGGAGGTCAGTCGCGCGCCCATCTTTGGAAAACCACTTTTTCTCAGCATTTCTCCCCCCCCGGTTGGCCATCGGTGATCGATCATCCTGTGGAAACAATGCACCGCACTCCAGAGAACGCGTGGTCAATTGTCTTGTCTAATCGCTAAGGCACGCACGACTATGAGTACACCCCCCCCAACAACAAGGGACTCGACATGGCATGTAGTGCGTGAGGATGCGTGAGATGATTTCTTTGTTTTGGTCACAGGCCGTGGTAGAACACACGAAAGCTCTTGTTAAGAAACGCATTTGGAAGATTGGCTGGTGCATGGTCAATGGGCGCTGCTTCTCTACTTCGGCCGTGGCATTGAGTATGTACATGGTGCCACGTCACGTCCCGAGCGGGAGAGGCTCCTTGTTTCGCGATTAAGTATGTTGCGTCCTCCCCCACTTGGGGCGACTCGGTCTTCAACATCTGCCCAGGCAGAACAAACCGGGCCTAAAAAAGGAGCTGCTTTGTTACGAGTTGGCAGAGAGCTGTCCGTGATTACCCCCCCACCAGAGAATGAAGCGAAGGAACGTGTGTCTGCACTCCGTCACGTGGGCTGGCCCTTGTCTTGCCGCGGGGTGCTTGCTTGCTTTCTTGCTTGCCTGCAGGAGCTTAACTTCGCCACCGCCACCGCCTCCGCCACGGAGACCTTCCGCACCCGGGAGACGTGTCTGGGCTACACCGGCGAGGGCGAAGACCTCCCCACGGGGGTGAGACGGGAGGAAGCGAGAATGGCGTTTTGGCGTTGCGTTATATGCAACAACCATGTGTTGTAGGCGCAATAATAGCTTCACTCTGCTGTGGATAAGGGTAGTGAGCGAACAGTGTCACTTGTGTGTTTGCTGGCATTGTTTTGTGCCTCCGTCGCACCCTTCTGTCGACGTCTGTCGAAGCACCGTGAAAGTGTCGTTTGTTGGCGAGTATGTGTAGGTCAACGCCAGTGCAAAGTTCGGAAAGATGTCCCAGAAAAAAGTAAATTTTTTCACGTCCGCTTGCTCTGAAGCTTTGGACCACCGTTCAGGATTCATCGAAGGCTTCATTTTTGGAGGGTGCTTGGTTCCGCATAGCTTTCATGCTGTTCTCCGCGTGTGCGCAGCAGCCTATCAGACGTATATCGTGCCCCCTTGCTGTTTGCTGCTGGTGACTTCTACCTTGTTCGAAGGGACAGCTCCCCTGCTCCGTATTGCCGTTGAGACTGTTGTGGTTAAAACTCAACCAGGGACTTCGCAAATATCGCTTGCCATTTTCTCTCAAAGTTCAGATCAGGCCACTTGAATTCCATCATCGTTGATCCTGTCCCCAAACACGCCGCTCACACACACGCTCATGCACATGCACACCAGACCCTGGACGAGCAGATAACCCGGTACTTCAACGACGCCGATTTGCATGAGACTGCTGGTGAGCGATAGGCACGCATGATATCACATCCGGTTCAACAACCGAGGGAGGGTCCATGTTGATTTTTGTATGACATCAAGACTGCTTTTCTACCATCACGCAAGCAGAGAACTGTCTCATGGTAAATGTTGTTGATCGCAATCGAGTTTTAGCCCCGCGGAAAGGGAGGTAGGCGGCAAGGCGAACTGCTACCACTCTCGGAGTTTCTACATGTGTTCGGAGGCGTTTTTTGAGGGCCATGGCGGCAACGACACTGGCGCGGGCGGGCGGTGGTTTGGCCCCTTCCCCAGGGGGCGGGCCGCCTCCGGGACACACACCGGAGCATCAGCCAGGGCTCGCCGCCGTGTTCCAGTGTTGACTGAATTCATTCCCCCACGAACATGCTGTTGTTCTTCGAGTTCATTTTGCATACACACATGAACCAACTGCTGCGCCTCCCCCTGGGGATAAACCTCTTAGCGTCTAGTTACAAAGTGTTATTGTTTTTTATCCCGCTGCCAGACGGACGTATTTTCATTGGTCAGCTGGTTAGCGTGGTCGGTGCGACTGAAGAAAACACACACGTACACGATGTGGCTGACGACACCGATTGTCCACATCGGACGCACAACGTACGTGCTCTGGTATTACCCCACAGTGATTGTAACACCTGCCACTAAACGGACTCCGTGCGCAACGGACAACGAAACTACTGCCCGTGTCCGTGTAGATTGATTGAGAAGCCTTACAGTGTCTTCGACGAACTCAACCGACTAGAAACGCGCTTAGGCCAGACAGCGGTTCGGTCTTCTTTGCGTAGCTTAGCATGAAGTTTGGCGCCATCGGGCCGCGCTTTTTTTCTTGGACTCACTGACGAAAGGTGCGGCCGTACCGAAAAAATCGATCGTCGTATGCTATTCGCAGACTACACGCACATCATCTACATCGGGAACGAGGATCTCAACTCGCACACCGCAGCCACGGTCCGCTACTCTATCGGGGGCGAGGGCTACGTCGACCCTTACGTCCCGTTTGACCTGCTCTTCGACGTCGCAGACGACGGCACTGTCACGTCCACCCACGTGCACATCATCGCGGTGAGTGTTCCGACGACAGGAGGGATACGATTTCCGAGTGATGCTACATGGTAGGGGTGTCGCAGTGAGCGTTTCGAAGAGGGGGGGGTAAGATCTCCGAGTGATTCTACACGGTAAGGGGGTCAGCTCATCGGGTACTGTTGGGAGACACACTCTACGTATAATGTGTTGGTCGGCGGCGTCGCGTTTCGCCGTAAGACCACCGAAGCAGAGGACTACTGTTTCACTCCCAAAATTGGACACCCGTACTATCAGTCTTCCTCTGTTGCGACGGCCACGCGCGGGCTGGATCTCACCGGAATGTAGACCACCGGTCGCCCCGGTGGTCTAGTGGTATCCTCGTAATCCGCTAATCGCAGAGGTCGTGTTTTCGAATCCCCGTGGGGTGAAAAATTTACGAAATGTGCGGGTGAAAGCGAAATATAGCTGGCTAGCTCTCGTGAGTACCGAACTTCGACGGTAGCACCGTTGACGAGGGAAAGGGACGGAAAAGGAATTTCAGCACGCACCGCAGGAGAAAGGTGGGGCATGAAATGAAAGATGTAGAACAAAAAGCCCTGGTGTTTATCCCCTCCTGTGTGACCCTTGATGGTTGTAGTCGTACGAAAAAATACACTGGAATGTGCAGTACACTACAGACGCTGAAAAGTGTAGTACCTGTCTCACCACGAAAAATGGGGGGGGCTGTCGCCATAATATAAAGGACGAAAACGCACACACAGAGAATTGAATACCGTACGTTTTGTCCTGTCTGGGGGCTCGACGATACCTCTCTTTCTTCTATTCCGCCCATGCCTAGCGTGTTTTCCGCGCTCTTACCTACCATTCTACCCGGCAAGACGAAGCACTTTTGTGCCTCGCTTAACGTCGACCAAGGGCCGTTGTTTTGGTTTCATACCGCCGTGGTAGCACTGGCGCCTTCTCTATCGTGCCTCCGTGCGAACAAACCGTGCCCGGTGTTCACGGAACGATTTTTGGTGTGACGCTGTTCGCTCCATCAGTGTCGTGATAGTTGTTACGCCGCAAGGCACCTACCTTGCCGCGTTTGGCTTAGGGCTCGTTGCATCACATTTTTTCGAGCGACCTATCCCAATGCTCTAAGTTACGCGGAGCGTGTTCCCTCCGGCAGGTGTGACCCATGACATACATAGCAAGGAGAAGCTGAAATGAGTATTCCCCAACCGCTGTTCCGCCATCAAGGGCTCGTGTTCCTACTCTGCGGACGCGGTTGTTTGTAGGGCTTGCTCTCTTGCTCGCTGAGACACTCGCTGGCTGATAGCTGGTAAGTGAAGAGGAGACCATCAGCACCCTCCACCCCACTTTTATACCTCATTTCATGATGGTATCTCGTCTCCCACATGTACGTATCGATTGCCCCGCTTTCCGTGACGTTTCGTTGGAACCTGGTGCCACAAACGAAATCGATTTTCGATTATTTTGTGATTCGTTTTCTTGTGCAGGAGCTTGCCGAATCTTGGAGGTCCGGAATCGCGAGGCTGATCGACGCAGGGGTGACCGGAACGATCCTTCTCAGCAACATTGGAAACCCCGAGGGCTTGTCTGTGGGTCAAGTCTCAAAATTGTGCACCAAGGCTGCTATTCCACAACAGCCGTAGTAGTATGTAGTAGTAGTCACGAAACGGATACAAAGGAGTACGCGGGAGTGGCATGGTCACAACAACGTTTTATGGAGCGTTTTCCCCTTCATCTCTCCAATAAGATGTTTGGTTTTATAGTCGCGGTCACGGATGCCTACGCGGGAGCTACGGTAGACCAGTACGGCAGGCCTCCTCCCTGGTTGTGTTCTGGCCCACCCTTTTTTTGCCTACCCGAAAGGAAGTCAACAGGTGGAAACGGACGGGAGCGGAAAAAAATTATGCTCCCTCCCTTGCAACCATCGTCGAAGTGTAGCACTAGCCCCTCGGACCCCAAACAACCGGTCAAGCGCGGCAAAGCTCTCGTCTGTAGGCGAACTGCTGTGAAGGCGTTCTCACCTGCGTCGTAGGAGCAAGACGCTTGACACCACTGTCGAGTAATTCGCATCGTTTTGGCGTGTTTGGGCGATCTGCTATTTTTTTTATTGTCCGGGCAGATTTACATCGGCACCCCTCTAGGCGAGATCGTACGGTCGATCGCCCTCACCATACGCGCGGAGGTTCAGGCCGTCGCCGACGAGTTCCCTGACCAAGTGCGGATCCTCGACAACTACACCCTCTTCTCGGTGAGGGCGGTGGTGAACGTCTTGTATGTGGTGGAGGGGGGGCTTAGTAGTGCCATGGTAATTTACATCCTCTTCTTGGTGAGAGCGGTGGCAGTCTTGTGTGTGTGTGTGGGGGCAGAGTAGCGCCATGGTCGCTTGCATCCTCATCTTGGTAAGAGCATGGCAGCCTTGTGTGTGGTGGGGGAGGCATTGTGGCACCGCGCTCCGTTCGTTCGTTGGCCATCAGAGAGCATCCTATCAGTACAGGTGGCGCACGGGATCGTCTCCACCTTGAAAAGGGCCGCTTCGTTGTCGACCGAAATAAAATAGACATTGTGTGGTCGAGAGGCGGGGTGTGCGGATGCTCGAGTGCGCGTGGTGATGATGCCTATGTGATGAAGGCAGGCCGCGTGTTGTTGGATAGGCCTTTGCCGATTTTTTTCGCATCACGCCCGCCGCCTCCGACCCCATCTCATCCGTCGCCTGTCGTTCGATCAATCCGCCGTCCTTCTGTCACACATCATTTAGGCTATCGTGGACACGCCCGAGATCTTCGAGAACCTAGGCTTCGTCGCCCCGGAGGGGTCCTTCCTGGCTGACCCTTGCCTCGACCTCGACTTCGCCATAGACTACATCGGGGAGGTTGCCGGCACCCAGGTAAGTCTCAACGACAAGAGGGCTCTCGGAGCTCGAAATGGAGAACACTGCTATTGTTGTGTACCGCTGCGCTCGGCTGCTTTCGTACAGTAGGCTTCGCCATTTTTCGTATTTTCACCCTTGTGTCCCATCGATGGAAGTTTGTCACGAACCTGCAACGTCCTCGAGAGTGTTGATGTTGACGAAAAATGTTGCCGTTGCGTTAATTGTCGTCTCGCGCCATGTAAGCGCCACCACCGCCAAACCGGGTTTGGATACAAATCGAGTTCTTGTCTTTCTCACGTCCCCCTCTACTGATGAGGCTTGATACGATACGTTCTTGTCTTTCTCACGTCCGCCTGTTAATGATGAGGCTTGATAAGATGCGTTCTTGTCTCCTTTGGTCCTCCTGCTGACGATGAGGCTTGACACGATTTCTCACACGTCCTCGTGTTGACGAGGCTTGATGCGATACGTTCTTGTCTTTCTCACGTCCTCCGGCTGAAAATGAGGCTTGATACATGTAAGATGATACATTCTTGATTTCTCACGCCACCTCCTCTCGATGTTATGCGTGATGTCATACGATACATTCGCGACTTCTCACGTCCCCTCCGCTCCATGCTATCTGTGGCGTCATTTTCAGGCCCTTCGCCCGGTTGGCTGCCAGGAGGAATGCGCCCTTTGCGCCGACGACACCTCTCCCTGCGGGACCTGCTTCGAGGGCAACCCTTCCGGCCAGGTCTGCAGCGATCCGGACTCCCGGCTCTTCTGGCGGCCCCGGTATTTCTCGACCGCGTTCCACCACATACTGGGAGAGGCTATCAGGCAGTGCTCCAAGGACAGCCCCAACTACGACCGCCCCTTCGTGCTCGAGCTATGCGGCTCTTCTCGTTGAAAGGACCAACCACACACATGCCGTCCATGAGAATGTTGGGCCGGGGGGTTGAAGAAGAGCGCGAAAAGGACCAGCGGCAGCACCATTTTTGGTCCAGGACAGGGCGCAAGAGGTTGGAGCCAATGATCCGTCGACATGAGCCAGGGTTCATCGTATCCGATGCGGTGGGAGATGGAGCAGGCAGCAAAGGGCCTAACCTGCGTTTGTTGTTTTTTCTCCACCGGACGCTTCGCTATTCATGCGTGAAGTCCTCTGTCGCGTTGGCGAGATCTATAGATGTTGGCCAGCAGTGGGTGATGTGGGTCGGAAGTACAGGGGCTGCACCCAGTATTTGACGGAAAAACGGGAACTGCAGTATGGTGTTTCACGGCATAGCTCTGGCGTAACCACTTACAACGAGAATGGCTTTCCGATACAGTGTTTTCCTTGTTTTTCTAACTTCCGATACGATTTTCCTCAAAGTAGTGTTGTTTCGCCCTTGTTCTTCTGTGTTCCTTCGTGTAGTGGTCGTGGTTGTTTTGCGAATTAGCGGCCTGGCTATGCCGTTATCCACCTAGAAATCATTGCCAGCGCCATGTGTTGCGTGTACGATTAGAAAAACTCCACATGCGTTGCGTTGCCGTTCCACTTCGCTTCTGGGTACAGCCTTCGTAGTACGGAACGCTACATGTTGATGTGGGAGCGCCTTCTAAGGCGTTGGCCAGGTAGTACGAGCGGCTGTTCCTCGATGGCAGGGAGGATTTTCCAGCTCTGGATTTCCAAGTCGAACGGGTGCGTTCTGTGACTGTTGGAGCTCTGCATGGCTTTACAACGCCCGACAACAGCGAGTAGTGTTTCCGTGGCTGACGAAGGTATTCTAGGCAGATACGGCACGAAGGAGGGGCAGGCAAGGGTGCCGTAGTGTTCTATAGGACTAGTCTAAAGAGGTTCGTGAAGTCGGGGGGCAAGGGCCCCTAGAAGCGGCTGGTAGGCTGCGGGCGGCAGACCTACAGGGTGATGAGCTGCTGGAAAGAGGAGGGTGAAGCGATTGAGGGAAGGAAAACTTCGTTTGAACTCGGAAGGCTATACCTATCTATTTGTATCGACGAGCCTGTAGCCTTTGAAAAGGAGCCTGCAAACTGCTCAATGGCGTGTTGTGATGTATTTTTGTCTACTTTGTGACTGCTTTGCCCTTGGGGCCATCGCTTGTCCATGAGCAACAGGTTTGACGTGACTGCTGACCTCGAGTTTGCTTACCCGTATCCTCGCACTGCTGTTGCTTACATATCCCGTGTCGTCTTCGTAAGTAATGATATGAATATTTGGTCCACCAACGGGGTAGCATTCCGGGGTCCGTCCGTGATAGCCTGACGACTGTCACGCCTCGCACTATACGGGGGGGCGAGTTCCTTGGTCACCAAACCATCCCTTCGAGGTGTTCCTCCTTGCCGTGTATGGTGTCGCGTGGTTACGGTGTCAATTGTGGAAAAGGGGCGTGTTCCTGTCTTACGTGATTGGCGTAGCTACACCGTCTTGCTGTCCTCTACATTCATTATTGTCGGGTGCTTGGTCTTGCCGCCCTTCTCGGGCTTCCGGGGCGTTGGGAGGTGAAAGGGCTAAGACGAAAAACGCCACACTCACTTGCCGATTTCATCGGGTGTTGGGCCTGCTTCGTTGTGTTGTGTTACGTAGACATCTCCGGTCGCACTCTTAGTCTGTGATTCAGCCTCCGCGGTTGGTTGTGGGGTGATGGGCTCTTCACCTGTTGCATGCTCTTCCCTCTTGCTGTTCTTGGGCGAAGTGTAAACGTCACGATTTTTGGGTTTTCAGAATGAGTCTTTCGGGTTCATTTTACTTCACTTCGCCATCGTGTTTTCGGTTGTTATAGTTCATAGGACTAGTGTACGCCGTGGCGGCGGAAACTCTTACCCAAACTGATCAGTGGGTCGAATGGCATCGCTATTTGAGAGGGAATGCTGTAATAATATGCATATGTAGTATGTTGATCAACCCCATGTCACCCATCTCCCTTTGGCCAGAGATCGTGTGGAGGTCGTTACCGAACCAACCTGTACCGGCCATCCTCCCGCCGGTTACAACGTCTTGGCGTCTCGGTCACGCTAGCAGGAGACCTACCCTTGGAACGCCGTGAGACGCAGTTGTTGTGATGTGCGGTACCTTCCGTCATCTACGTTCATTATCTCATCAACTCGTAATACAACTCGAGTAATATGGCGGGCCTGTTCGGACATCGCGTGACTTGCGTCAAGTGAAACGGACGGTATGAGTCGCCTCAAGGACACGGATTTGAATGCACAGTCTTGTGTCATTTCGTCCAGCGTTAGACGCGAGTTTAGTACCACACGGACATCACGTATGCTTACGGCAATCCCACTAAAATAGCAGGCGCAATGGTTTTGAAGCAAACGCAGACTACGGGTAGATCATGGGGAAACTCCCGGCAGACCACCAACGACAAGTTTACCACGCCAAGGGCAGTGAACGGATGACAACGAACGAGAAGTGTTGGAAGAGTGATGTCCCTCCCCCCACCCCAATCGTAGGAGCAGGCAACGCAGGCTGCGGTGTCCTAGCAAAGAGTACGCGTCAACGAATAACCCCAAACATATACCCCCCGGTGTTTGCCATCGGGACGACGTTATCGGGACGACGTTGTAAATCAAGCCGGACACTTCGTGAGCTCGGCAACCAGGGTATAATAGCTTTTTTTTTCCCACGGAATATTTTTTTGCGGTAACTTGCGGTAACCACACCGAATGGTGGTCGAGAAGCTTATGTTGGGCGGGGTCAAGAACCCTCACTCCGCGCAAACGGATGATCGCACCACGTTGTGTTGTAAATTGGTCAAGCACCCTCGAGGCAGCCACGTAGTGGTGCTCATAGCTGCCGTCTCTGCAAGCAAGTGAAAGCACCAAACAACGTATTTTAGGTCATTCGCAGCTGTCATTCGTTGCCGGGAAGTACGCACAAGATGCCGAGCACCCTTAGCAGGATGCAGCGCACCTTTCATGCGACTCGCCGAATACCTCGCGGGGCTTCGCGCTTGGTGATGTGAGCGCCTGGTCCGGTGAGGACCCGGCGCGCTCCGTCCCGGTTTTGTCCCGGTTTTACAGGGATGCGAGGTCAATGGTCAAACGACTGCGTCATGCACGACTATGGGCGCCTTCCCCCCCCCCCCCCCCC